AAGGAACAGCATAAAACTACAAGTGAAGCCCATACAAGAGCTAAGTACTTGGATAGGGGTAGAAACCATGAAATAATCTGTCGAGTAAGAGCTATGCGGAAGAAATGATTATTCACAATCAGACTAACACATATAAAAGAATCCTAAGCATATACAGCTGAAGAAAGGTAGCGACAACAACTGAAAGCAATAATCTAATAGCAATTTAATGCGATCAAGGATCACAAGCGTACTTTCCAGGCTATCAGCTCACCACCTCGCCTTCTCTGTCGCTCTCCTGGCCCAGGCCCATCAGTATCAGGTCTGAGCTGTCCCAAACCGCACTTACCTCGGGTCTTCAAGCTCACACCGGCTCGTGATGCCACGGAGAGGGCTCCGAGATTGTCCCCGGTGGACCCCATCCGAGCCGATTGCGAGGGCATTACGGAGGTCATTATCGGCGCCACCGACCGTGAAATGTCCCGACCCACAGCCCTCATGCACTAGGCTCATGGATGCAGTCATAATATGTAGGCCTTGTCTCCCGAAGTTTGGAGCAATAGCCGCAAATAGTACTTTTTGGCACTTCATCGCGACACGTCCAGGTGCCGACAAAGCGGCTTCCCAGCTCACCACCTCGCCTTCTCTGTCGCTCTCCTGGCCCAGGCCCATCAGCAGCAAGTCTGAGCCGTCCCAAACCGCACTTATCTTGGGTGATGAAGCTCACTCTGGCTCATACCACGGCTCTGCAGCCTCACACACGCCCGTTTCAGCCACAGACACCGCCGGCACGCACTCCCACTTCACACACGCTCAAGCACAACCCCATCAAAGCACATCCCTGCTCAGAATGGGCAAGGGCTACCACCTGGTGACCCTGGTAGCCTCTGGCTCGCCACTGCACTCGGCTCCTCTGCAGCGGTCTCGGCTCTCGCCACGACAGCACGCCGACGGCAAGCTTTGACGCCCGTCTGGTGGACCTGCTGTGGCCACAGCCGCCCCTGACATGCATCTCGCACCATGACTCGACACCGGGCCCGCTCAGCTTGGTCGTGGCGGCGTGTGTGAAGGATGCGCGGCCGAGCCGCTGGCTGGCGCCGCTTGAGCGTCCGAGATGGCCGCAGCAGAGGCCACGCGTCGCGCCGCCGGCCAATCCCAGCCTCTCGGCGGTCGAGTTGGTCGAGCTGGCGGGGCCGGCGAAGATTTCGGGGACGTGACCACAACTCGGGCAGCGACAGCGCGCTTGAGCTTAGCTTGTCCGACACCCCTCAAAATCGGGGTCTTTTCAATAGGGCCCACCTTGGCCTTTAAGACACAAGCCTCTCCCACGCGCCTCTGCTCGCATACACTCACCCATTGAATTGTCACTGCCCGTGAGTGCGAGATAGGGTTAGCAGTAGGCAGCTAGCCCGTGAGGAGAGCGTCCATAGACACCTCACTAGACCCCACACACGGTCTCGTCCGTGCCTCGCCGGCCGGCGAGATTGCTAGAGGTGGAGCAAGCTGCTCTAGCCTCGCATGTTACTCCTGTCGTCTGTGTTTGAGTTGTGCCCTTGTTTGTGCCCTTGGCACCGTGGAGTGCTGGGGGGGGCGACAGGGAGGATGTGGCCCTGAGTTATGTGTACGCCAACTCAGGGTGTGTGGCAGCCAGCTGGCTGTGTGTCTTGTGAGCTTGTTTGTGTCTGAGACGAATCGCAATCGGAAACGAATCGGAACCCGACACACCGCCGTTCAGACGAGGAATCGAGCGAGGCGTTGAATAGGAAAGGAGAGGGACACCGCCGTTCAGACAAGAAATCGAGCCGACACCGCCGTTCAGACAAGAAATCGCTGAGCAGCCGCCGAACTCGACCTGGCAGACCATCCATGCACTCCGCCGCCGGCATGTCAAGCAGTCTCCCGCCGACTCCTGTCGACTCCCGCGCGAAGCTGTGTGGAGTGGGCAAGGAAAAGAAAATTTTCGCACCTTTTATCGTATCGATTGAAACAAAGAGTCGAGTCTTGAAGAGAGATACGGAAAAAACAAATCGGTCGGGGGGTCGAAATTTCCATGCTAACCTGTCTGGTGTCGGCTGCGCTGTCGCCCTCGCTCTCCCGAGGTTTTCCTTCGATCCTTCGCGGCGGCGGTCCACGCATGATGTTCAACATGTTCACTGAGCCCAAGCTCATCGAGCCGGAGAAGGCACTGCCTGGTCGCGAGGCGTGCGCTTCTCCCGCCTCCGCCGAATACACACACATATCACCACGTGCTATTACACACCCACGCCGGCGCGTGACCGCGCCGGTTGTAAGCGGCGGCCAGTTGGTCGCAGACCACCTCCCGGACACAATATGGTCTTGAGAATGGCGGCTTCCTGGGTGCCGCAGGCGCCGATGCGGGTTTCCGACCGCCATGCTGTCCTCGGGAGCAAGATGAAGGGCCCCTGGCCCGCGGGGTACAAGGTGGCTGTGTTTGCCAACGGCTGCTTCTGGGGCTCCGAGAAGGGCATCTGGCGGCTGCCCGGCGACGGCATTTACACGACAGCGGTTGGCGCCACCTAGATGCCCACGCGAGAGGAGAGGCGGAGAGGAGGAGAGAGGGCGGAGGCGACGCCTCGCCTCGCCGCGGCGCAGGTTGGGTACGCCGCGGGCTTCACGCCCAACCCGACGTACGAGGAGGCATGCTCCGGCAGGACGGGCCACACGGAGGCGGTGCAGGTCGTCTTCGACCCGGAGAAGGTCACCGCCGCCTTCCCCACCACCCCTTTCCTGCGCCTCCATCGCCACCGCCACCCTCCCCACCGGCTCCGAGCACTCCCCGAGTCCTCCCCGAGTCCTCCCCTAGGTGTCGTTT